CACTTGTGAAAATTTGACAGAGGAACATTTAAATGCTGTTTTCTTTGTAAAGGAAACATATTTTCTAGTGATCATTAGTGCCTATGCATTCCTTTTCTTTTAATAGTATATAATAGTTTCTGGTAACTGATAGCTCATGTTCTGTCTGATTTCTAGCCCTTCTGACTATGGAAAGGAACATTTTATTTTTATGTTTTCTTCTTTCCCAGAGATCCTGAAGCAGAGTGGGTATTCATTCCCAGAGCGTTAGCATATTTCTAGTGCTATTGAATATGTACTAGCTTCTCTGAAGTATTGCTCTTACATGAGGAGTGTGTAACGTGCTGATTTTGGGGTTGGGGTCAGGAGGTGGTCAGGCATAGCTCAAGTCCTGGAAAAAGAAGAGGCCCTGGCTGATGGTGCCAGCTATTATATAGACACTTCCTCAGTTGTCTAGGTCTCCATATGAATTTTTGTCTGTCTTGTAAGTTAGGAGCTCCTTGGTGTAGGAAAAGCTGTGTCCATCTATCTGTTTATGCAAACATTCTTGTTAGTATTTTAACACCCAGCCACGCAAACGCTGCCTGATCCCTCCCTCTCCTCCTTTGGAGTGTAGCTGAGGGGGCTTGGATAGGAACACGTGCTGTTCTCAAGGTAGTGTAGCAGCTGCCCTTTGCACCCTGCCTCCTAGAGCTCCCGCTAAGCAGTATTCGCTCAGGGTCCAGTGCAGACTTATTTTTTAGGCCACAGCTGTCACTGCTGTACTATATATGCACCCAGTATATGGCTCTGCTCACAAGAGAGTGTAGTAAGAATTCCGTGTAGTACATGAAAAGAAAGATATGATACTTCCAGCCTACCCACTTACTTTAAACTGGGGATATTGGAAGTCAGTTGTCTGCTTTGTCTGCTCTGAAGCAGCAAGTTTTCCTCTGCTTTTCACTCTGAAGTGAAGGATTTTTGGCTTTTCAAGATGAAGCCTGTGCTTAAGCTTTTGGTGCTAAAGAAATACTATTAAAATTAGATCTTACTGTCAGTGGTACCCTGGATTGCATTTTGTAGATCAACTGACAGAGTTATACCTTGAATCTCTGGTGAAGCCTTAAATAAAGGCTTTTACAACACCTAGCATCTGAAAGCTGTGGTGTAATCCAGAGCAAGTGAGTTAAGGCTACTGCAGAGATACTTTTTTTGATACTTCTGTCTCAGCCTTGCCCAGAGATTTTTTTTAAGAAAAAAGTATTGGTGGTCAAATTAAAAAATGCATGTTTGGCCTAGACAGTACTGTATTTCTCTGCTTTTGTTAACAGAAGACCAACTGAGAGTAAACTAGAACTTAAACTGTGTAGGTAGATCTGGATTTGCAGTCTAATTCCAAGGATTAATTAACATTTACCCTTCATTTTTAAGTATTTTTTAAAAAGCTTTTAAAATAGAAAATAATCCCTAAAGATTTATCAAAGACACAGTGAGACGTTCTCTGTTTGTGATTATATTTAGTAAATCTTTAGTAGATCAGAGATGAATTTTCAAAGGAAAATACCAACAGATAAACACTGCGTTCCATTCCTTTCTGCTGGATCTTTAAAAATGGGAACAAGATAGTCTTGAATGTGCCTTGACACTTCAGATCTGGCTGCCCTATATCTCCATCTGTATGCTGGTATTTTGTCTCCAACAATTACTGACTGTTCTCAATGTCTGCTGCAAATGCACGCTGTGCGTTCACTTGAAAGTCTCACAGAGAAGCCTGTTAGCTCATAACTACAATATTTTTTATAATTTTGTACTTTCAATATTTTCTACAGATCATATATCCAGACTTTAATAGTGCTTTCTGTATAATGCTCTACAGAATCAAGTCAAATAAAAAATCTACATAGTGTGCTCTAAGCCGGTGGGAAGACTGGGGGAAGAAATAATTCTTTCCTGATACATATGGTGGTTCTAAATTACAGATACAATAAACTAGATCTGTCTTTTATGCTTGAGAGTCTCGTTGTCTGGGAAGCTAGGATAAGCTGAATTTTAGAGCTAGTGTGACATCAATGGCCACTGAAGTGGAAATTGGAAAGGTAGAACTGTATGATGGAATTCAGTCCAGAATTTGTTACCGTTATGCTTGGCTGAAGAGATGACTACAAATCCCTTTCCTTTTCAAATAAAGAAATCCAGGCTGGTAAGCCATGACTGAGACTGCTTCCTTATAGTTCCCAGTCTGGTTCTCCTGTAGCTCTTTTCAGAACGGGTGTTGCAATGACCATAGATGGAAATTCATATCAATCCAAAATTCAAAGTTACCCACCATTTTTGTTTGACACATTCTTGTGATGAATGTACTTATCAGTTTGGGTAGCATTTTCTAAAACTGTTAGGCAGAAAATTTCCTACTAGAGTAAGTGTAAAATCATGTCACCAGTATAACAATCTTCTCCATCCTCAACTTTGACTAATTCTTGAACAGTTTTAGTTACCTGCTGTATTTCTATTTTAAGATATAACATTTACATTTGGAGCTTGAAAAAGCAGAAATTGGAGAAACTGAGAGGGAAGTCAATATGTTACAGCTATCTTAAGCTTGTCCCAGATCTATAGTTCTTTCTTTTCTGTGGAAGCTCTGTTTCTCTGGGCTTTTGTTTGAAGCATCACTGGGGAGTGGAAGGAGAGGTGTATGTGTTAAGTAAGAATTCCCAAATTAGGGCATAAATTTTACTTTCTATAATTGGATTGATGTTCAAAAACTAATGATTGTTCTTGATGAGCAAACAGGGAGTTCTCAGCATTTGCAACCACCTTCTCTGGAGACTGGCAGTATCAGCGTTGCAGTTAACATTTTCTGCCAAGAACTTGCATTTTTTCTGAGGAAGTAAAGTGGTGTCAAGTCTTCTTCAAGAAGGCTCAAGCCTTGATGTCTGCTTGACTGGCTAACAGTTTATGTTAACAGAGAAAAAGAATAAATTGAGGAACACTGAGAAGTATCCTGCTTGATTAATTCAAGTCTTACTGACTGATTTATCTGAGTTTGGCTTTTGTTCAAATGTTTTCCTGACCTCTTATCCTACTGCAGATTTTTCTTGACATATTGAGGGACTGGGCAGGGAAGGGTCTTTGAGTAGCTGCACAAGTACAAATATGCAAATAATCTGTATAGTTTAGGCTTCTAGGCTCTGCATACTTCACACAATGAAAGTACATGAAATGCGAAGGAGCTAATGTTTGTATAACAGATTAGGAAAACTATGCTTGTAATACAAATCTCTTGTTTCTGCTGATCTTTCTCTGAGGGTGCATTGAAACTACCATGAAGTATTTCCCCTACCCTTAATCCATTAACATCAGAAAAATACATTGGGGAATGGCACTGCCATTTTTTGTCAACTCTCTAATTTGCATGAGAATGTTATCTGTGGCTTTCCTTCACTCAGAAAACACAGAACTCTTATTGCTCTTATTGCTTTTGTCTCTAATGAAAGGTATAGAAACCTGTGTCTTCTAGTCATATCAGATCTGGGATGTTATTTGCAGTACCTAATTCCAAAGCAATCTATTTTTTAGTGGAGTCTTCAAGTATTCAGGGTGCTGTGCTCTAGCACCCTGATACTAGAGCTTGTGTTCTAGTTAATTGGTAACTTTAATTGTCAAATTACAACTGTCTGCCTCAGTACTGAGCCACTTTAACTGGCAGCTCAGATTTTTTAATATTTTTTTTTCTTCTTTGTCTCTGCTAGTGGAAGACCACAAACAAGTAGTCTAGAGAATTGTTTTGGAATAACTTTTTTTGGTTAGAACATGTACATATTTTCAAGTGTTCTGAGGTCGTATTAGGAAAGGCAGTTTAAGGGTTTTCTCTTCATACTTGATGAGGAAGTGTTTGGATTTGTGTTGGGTTTTGGTTTTCTTAGGAATTTAACTTCACAGTTTCAGCTTGGCTGAATTCACAGGGGAATTTTGGCTCTTAATCAGACACATCTTTATTTTATGTTCCTTGTTCTGGAAGAACGGAGTTGTTGACTACAGTCTTTGTTGTAGCATTTTAGATTATCCTTGGGGGTTTTTTAGAAGTGAGGAATGTAAGGAAGTGTATACCTAAAAATAAGAGCAAAGACCTATAGCTTATGTCTGTACCCTTTTAAGTTCTGAGCACTGAGAGCACAGGAGTACTCTGTGCTCACTGAAATTTGTCTGGTTGATGGTATATGAATGCTCCTCTATTTTAGTTGGAATTCCCTAATCGAATCTAGTTTCATAAGTAGTTGCAATGTATCAATGTCATCCAGATGCAAGCTGAGAGGGCTGTGTAAAATTGAGGTCAGGGTAGTGTCCATTTGGGGAAGATGCAGTCCACAAGGTGCCTAGAGCTAAAAAACAGTGATGCCATAGCAAACAATCAGAATTTATAACTGTTGTCTCTCTAGTTGAGTTTGTAGTTGAAACACTGTGGCTTTTGATTTTTAAGTTTGTCTGTCTTTCAGAGGGTCAGGTTCAACAGTCATCATCTCAGTTATGTAGTGATCTGTCTTGGTAATTGAGCTGTAGTTGGATGTGAGTAAAGTTAAGCAGAATGATTTCCTATAAAGCTCATTACAAAAGAAGCAAAGCATGTCCAAGGCCCCTCACACACTTTCATTTTCTATCCTCTCAATATAATGAATTAATCTGGGAAAAATGGCTTTTAGGAGGAAAAATATGATAAAAACATGCAGCAGATAGTGGTTTATCAGTTTTCCACTTCTGAGTAATGTCTCTATATACTACTTCAATATAAATATAAATAATGGTAATTATTCCCCTGGGAGTAGCTAATATGTGGTAAGTAAAACACTACATTGGGCCTAACCTCTCAACATGACAGTAATGACAAGTAGACATTGTCCTGGAGCTTTGTAGAAATATTAATTAACTCTGACTTTGTTTAGTTTCTATAACTTTTTTTGTTTCATCTGTACAGCAGAACACCCGTCTTCTTTGTGCTCAGAATGACTTATCTTGGTAAGACTTTTTTCCTTTATTTTCCCACACAGATCACCCCTGGCAGCAAGGCAGCACAGTCACAGATGAGCCAAGGGGACCTTGTGGTAGCCATTGACGGAGTCAACGCTGACAGCATGACCCATTTAGAGGCCCAGAACAAGATCAAGTCAGCCACCCACAACTTGAGCCTCACCCTTCAGAAGTATGTTGATCTAAGTTAAAGTCTTTGCATTCCTGAGGGCATCCTATGAAAACCTGTGACTAACTGCTATAAGTGTTTTGTCTTTGCATGTCAGATTTATTTGAATCATTTCTCGCACAGATATGAGATAGCCAAAACCTGCTCCTATTCCTGTAGAAATCAACATGGATTCTTACAGAAATCAGTGTAGTTGGAATGCTGTGTGAATGTATCTGTGTTGAATTTAGCCCATTGAATACAGGTATAACCCTGTATGCAGGGTTCTGTTAAAAAAAAAAAAATAATCAGACAGTGATGTTTCTTTTGGTTATTCTCATGTGGACAACAGTTTCATTTGGTCAGTTTATGAATGACTGTTCTAGAAGTGACCATCGTAATGAGTGTCGTGAGTGTATGAGAGGAACCTGTCATTCCCAGGGTGGATAATCACAGCAGGCTGAGAATTTGAGTTAATGGTCTGGCACCTCTGAGCTTGAAAGTAGCTTCTCTGCATCTGACAGAATACGAAAGATGTAGCCTGAGTGCAGGAAAGGAAGTCATAGAGGCTAGTCACTTCAAAAAGTCATTTTGAGCAAGTGCTGGCAGGGATATTTCATGTGAGTAATTGCTGTGCTTTTGTGCTTGCTGACCTCTAAATTACAACACCAGCAACTCTAGTGGCCGCATCATTGCAAGAAAGAAGGTTTTTTGCAGCATCCAGGACAGTTTATTTATTGCTTAATGACTGAAGCAATTCTTAGCTTTTCTTAAAATATTTTCAGACTGCTGAAGCTATAATGTATAGTGGTATACATTATTCTTTGTCTATGTAATTCTAGTGCAAGTATCATGATTGCTTTCTAGCTCTATCTATAATTTCTTTTTCTTTATCTGTCTTGAAAAACAATGGTATGTGATTCAGATAATCAACTTATGTGGATAATGGACAAACAAAGTAAGCAATAATCGAGTGCTCCACAGGCAGAAATACACTTGCATAGATAATAGATTTAGATATACAAACTAAAACCTGTCAGCGTGTAATCTCAGCCAACTGATAGAACCCTATTAAAGATCCTGTATCCCAATGTCTTGACAAAAGGCATATCCACAACGTTCAGGAAGTTAGATTAATCTCACCTTGAAAAACCTGTTTTCCTAGAAACAAATGTGTTAATTTACCTAAGAACAAAATGATTGTGGCAGTTTAGTCACCTTTCAAAAATTTCCAGTGAAATATACTTTTTTCCAACAACAATACTTTTACAAAGATTGTAGAGGTGAGAAGAGTAGTTAGCAGGAGCAGTCACTAATAACAGTAATTTTCAACCACCTAAAAACAAACCAGAAGAAAGACAAAATCTCCTGGGACTTGGTTACTGGGAAAATGACTGTGCTAAGAGATAATTTTTACTTTTTTGGGCATGGCTTGCAGCAATGAAACTGGAGTGTTCTACAACTGTGAAAACACAAAGCTAGTTTCCATAAAAATTGCAGAGATGGGTACACTCAGTTATCTAATTTGCATAAAAGTTTGCAAACATTGGAAATCCATTCAAATGGAAAAGGCATATATGTGCATTAAGAAATGGGCTGTTGTAATGGGAAAACTTAAGACCTAAATTTTAATCCTCCTGGACATTTATGTGAAGTAGTCATGTGGCTCTACAGACTTTGTCTCAAGGTCATGGAATGCTGTAACTTAGTTTGCTGGAGCAGCACTGGAAGTAGAAGTCAACTTGCTTGTCTAGTCTATAAGGCTATGGAAGAAGCAGTGGAATGTGAAAAAGCTTTGAAACAGAAGACTTTTTATTTTTGTAATGGCTCTTGGCATTCAAGAGTGATGACTTTTCCTTTTATTGATCCTGGCCATGAAGATTTCAGGAGCATTTTTTATAACCTGACCGTGTAGACAGTATTTGCTGCTACTCACTTTTATTATCACACTTAAGTTCCCTGTGGGGTTTCTTTTTCAGGGTGCAGATCTGGTTATCGTTTATTTGGCTGTCAGGAAAAGCTGTACATGATGTCAGCACCTGTGCAGGACACCAAATTGCAAGCCATCAAATGTAGTAGAAGGGAAGCACTAAGAATGTACATTTGTACTTGCCTGCCTAAACAATGAGAATCTGCACTTCTCTTGCTGAACAAACTTACTTTTTCTTAAAGTAGCATCAATCTGCACTGTTCAAGGGACACCAACATAGCTCTTCAGTGAGTGCTTAGTGTGTCATGCTGGCCTGAGTGGAAATTTCCATGTTCTAGCCATTTAGATATCCCATTATGGGTTCAGGAATTTGTGGATGTCAAGGTGTTTTTTTTCTGAGATCTTCCTTCCCTAAACTCCCAGTTAAATTTGTTCTTACCACCTCAACCATGCTATGTTTTCACATGAAACCAAAAAATTTGGATGTTGATCTGCTATGCCAGAGGTTTTATGAGGCAGCCAGGGCTTCTCTTGATACTGGCTTGAGTGAAACACTGTGCTTTCTGACTGCTTATCTTCAGTGTCTGGCTGCCTAGTTCTCCAGAGTCTGCAGTGTGCCTCCATCTTCTGCTTTTAGGAAATTAAAGGATGTAGACAGGCAGCTGGCAGGGATCTGAACTATTTGTACCATTCCTGGAGAGACGCCTGTGATCCAGTGGTATGGAAAGATGGGACCCTCCAGACCAGCTCTGTTCCCTTCATTTTAGAAGACAAAAGAATACATCTAGGAAGTGAAATTTCTTTTGCTGAAGAAAAGAGAGAAGCAGTGAGAGAAGCAGAAGATAAATTCCTTTGGCACAGAGCACTATTGCCTGATAGAACTCCATGAGTCATTATAGTGTTCAGGCAAACAGGCTGATACTCAAAAAAGTTAGATATTGATATAGATGTAGCTCCTTCCTTAGAAACCTATGTTTCTCTGTGTGTACTGAGGGGGGATTGGTGCTCGTTCTTGTAGACAATGCTATGGAAGGCTATGATCATACTCTATAATGACCTGTGGCTGTGGTGGAAAAAGACATTGCTTTACTTTTTTTGACTCTGTGGAGTTTAGTTCTCAGTCATTTTTCAGTATCAGTTTCTAATCAGTTACTTGAGCTTCACAGCTGCCCCCAGGCATTTTAATTTTGGGCTAGTCAAAGTTCATCTGAACTGGCTGGCTGTCCCACAGATACTAAGCCATCAACTTATTGTCTTACAGTATTCAAAAATGAAATGCATTCAAAGTCTGTTTGTATTTAATACAAATGGGTTTCTTTTTTAAATTCATAGTAAATTCAGTGCACAAGAGTGCAGTATTATTTTTCAACATGTTTCACTAGAACATCCACAACATTCATTTGATCTTAACTCAAGGAATCTGATCAGCCTCTTTGGAAAGGATTCACCAAATGTACTGGCTTAGTTTTGGAAAGTGCTGTAACATGAGTGCATCTCGTCTTGCTGGCACAAGCATTCCTGTGACACTAAGACTCTGGCCTTGGTGTCACCCTGTGCTGCTGAAGGGGAGCAGGGGAGACTTTCTGTGCCTGGGGTGGGTTGACACAAACTTCCCCTCCCAGGCCATGCCACTGATGGTACCATTCACTTTCAGAGAGTCATACTCGACTGCCTTTGCCTGGTCCTTTTCATGAGCCTTTTCTCTAGTGAAAGGGAAAGTGTCAGAGCTGCAGCTATGAGAGAATTATGGTAAATATTTAGTAGCTTTCCTTTTATGTGTACCACCAAAAGATGCCTGATCCTACAGTATTTATTTCAGGCCTTCTATAAATAAAGCATGTGGTGACAGCAAACTGCAAGCAAGGCAAATTGTGTGGTTATTGTAAGCTGCTTTCTTTTGTCTGAAGCTGTGAATTGTAACCAATTCTGTGCATGTTTTGGATCTGCTGATGGGCACATTTTCATTTGGAACCAGACTTAGGCTGCGTTTATGCTCAGAAAAGTTAGAAGAGGGTATCTATCCCAGTTTAAGAGAAAAATAAAACTATATAAACAATATTGATGAAAGCACAGTCTGAAATAGTGGTACTCAGACTATTCTGTAGAAACATTTCCTAAAAGCACTGTAGGAGGAGATTAGTAAAACTAACAGAAAATTTAAATAAAGATGTGGGATTTTTCCCCTTCTTTGAATGATTCCATTACATTCATCAGACTAATGATGGTTTTGTTTAGGGATGCTTACATACTAGAAGTAGAATCTGAGCCAGTAGAAATGTGACTTTAAAAAAACAACAACAAAAAAACCCCCACTAATGCTAGTGATAATTTGCTGGTGTTCAGCATTGTGAATGTCTCCTACAATCCTTTCTTGGGTTGACTACATTTTTGCTGGTTGTTTCCTCCCTTTCAGACTGCACTCTCAAAACTATGGAAGCTAAATGCCCAATACCAAATTATTTGTCCTTGGATGAGGCTGCAGCAACATGTTTACACTTAGGAGTTCCACCTGGGACTCAATAGCTAGCCTAGCAGCACTTAAAAGTTTAGGGAATAAGGACCACAACAAGGCTCCAGTAAGGATCTCTGAATTCCTGGATGCAGAAGTGAGATGGTTGTGCCCATGTCAGACTGGACTAAGGATATGAATGCCAGCCTCCTATCAGAACACAGTATTTAACAACTCAGCCTGAAGTGTTGACAAAACATGCCATTTGCATGTTTCACCAGAAATTATGGACTCTTATGATATTTTAAAGTACAAATATGTTCATATTGCTATAGAAATATAGCCTGAAATTAGATGACACTTTAAAAAAATTAGGAGTATAAAAAGAAAAAAATTAAGAAACTATGCCTTGCCCTTTGATCCATTCCCTTGAGTTGTACAGAGATTATGTTGACATATGCCAATGTGATTCTCAGTCGGATTTAAAGGTTAAATTAAGAAAATACTGGCTAAATATCAGAAAGAAATAAATTCAAACCTCGTACAATGTTAGATATTCCATGTGATGTTCACTGGAATAATTATGATCTGAACTGGACCAAGTACTGAGATCTGCAGCCATCTGGACAGTCTGTATTGGGGCCC